GAGCTCCCAGCTGCCTATGCATAAAGTGTAAAGTTGCGTATGCTTTGGCGACGTCCCTCGTGTAATTTCCACCGGTGTCTAGCTTTTCTGTTAGAATAAGACCTAGATCACGCTCTGATGGCACACAACTCAAGTTCTGGCCACCAAGGGTGTAATTTACACTCTGTGACCTTCCGGAATGAAGTTGCACTACTTTGCACTTCTTTAGGTTGAAAGGCATTCCGTTAGCCAGAGCCCAGTCTCCCAGAGTTTGCAGGTCAGCCTGCAATCTGTCTGAGTCTTCCGATGAGTTTATTGCTCTCCAAATCTTTACGTCGCCAGCGTAAAGAAGCGCAGAGCAGTTCAGTTGAAAGGACAGGTCGTTGATACAAATCAAAAACATCAACGGACATAAGATAGAACCCTGAGGAACCCCTTATGCCGAGGTGTGCCAGAATGATCGGATGCGGTTGACTTTGGTGCAGAATTCTCTCTCGCCTAAGTAATCTTTCAGCCATGAGAGAAGTGCTGCAGAAACACCCTCCTTGCTTATTTTGAGAAGGAGCAGATCATGGTGAACTGTGTCGAGTGCTTTTGCAAAGTCAAGAAAGATCACATGGACTGGCACTTTGTCGTCCCAGGATAGTGTCCAATTGTTCCAAGCTAGTAGAAGATTCGTCACACAGGATCTTCCCCTCCAAAAACCGTGCTGCGCTTCATGGAGTTGGTTAGTCCCGTCGAAGCATTTTCTCATGTGGTCGTCAGTGAGACTTTCCAATATCTTCGATATCACTGGAAGAAGCGCAACTGGTCTGTAACTGGTCGCATTCTGCCGGTCACCACCCTTGAAGATATGGGATAGGATGGCTCGTTTCCATTCGCATGGAAGTTTCCCTACATCAAAGGAGTGTTGAAACAAATCATTTAGGGGTTGGCAGAGACTCCCTGAACACTGCTTCAGGACGCATGGTCTGATGTCATCACAACCTGAAAACTTTCTCGAAGCCAACTTTTCCAATTTTACGAGTACCATTGCCGGGGTAATTTGAAATGTACCCAGCAGGTTTTCGCGCGTTGATTTTGCATTGTAATCTTGATGTTTTGTGGGGCTAAAATCCTCGTTACTGTTTAGTTGCCTGTGAAAGGCTAGACTGTATATCTCTGCCATACCGACCACCTTCATCCAACAGGGAATATGATAATATACTCAGCACTATTTTTAATGTTACAGTTATAAAATTATCGGAGGTGATTTCAACATGCCAGATGTATCATTGTCTTCACTCCGAGGACCCCAAATGTATGATAATCTCCTGAATTCCATCGTCACAGGAGGGTGGACACAACACGTAAATTCACCCACTAGATCCGCAAATATCCTAGACCTTATTTTCACGAACGACATAAAACCATCTACAGTACATGGGGGACATGAATTTCCAGGGTGTGACCATAAAATAGTGGTGTGTTCTTTTGACATCTTTCCTGAAACAAAACGCAGAGATGAAGCTGGTCAGATACCTATGAGGTTGTACACACATGCTGACTGGGAATTGTATCAGCACCTAATTAGATGTTCTAATTGGGACTCGCACTTTTCGAACGAGTCCTTAGAGGCAATTCTTAACAACTTTTATCGGAATATTAACTCAATTCATGACGTCATTGCACCTGAGAAGATTCTTAGCTTCAGACTCCTCCAAAGCGATTATATTCCGACATCGTTTAGGAGAAGTCTACGAAAGCACTCAATAAAATACTACAGATATCATGACTTGTCATCACTAATTACTATTAAGTCCCTTCTCAATAGAATTGAAGAGTTGAGAAATATAGGCCTCAGAAACAAAGAAATGCGAGCCATTCAGGTACCGCATAACTCAGGAGAAATAGCCAAACTTTTCAAAAGCAGGTTGACGAACTCCAAAACAGCTTATCCTAAAATATTATACTTAGACGGGATTGCTTACGAAAATCCTGAGGTGATATGTGAACTGTTTAGCAAGCACTTCGCCAGACTATACACCTTAGAGAACGATGAGGTAGTAGATTTCCCACGTAAAACAGACGAATGTTTAAGTGACATACTTTTCACCACACACGAGATCGATAAAGCTGTCGCAAATCTTAAGCTTAGTAACACTATTGGTCCAGGTGGTATATCTTCCATTCTGCTGAAAAACGGTGGTAGTGACATGAATTTACTCCTACTCAAGTTATACTCAATTGAGGGCAGAGAAAAAGTATGCGGAGTCGAACATATATGTTTATATTTGTTGTACATTGTAATTTAGTAAACATACACATTTATTTCTACTAAGTCTTTTTATGCATCTATGCTACTAGTTTATCTACAGTCTTTAGAGAAGTAAGGGTATTTAAGCGCGTTTAGGTACTGTAGTAGACTAATAGTTGATTCGTTCTAGGAATAAATAGTTTATTTATATAGTCAGGACTCGTTCGAAAAGTGCGAGTCCCAATTAGAACATCTAATTAGGTGCTGATACAATTCCCAGTCAGCATGTGTGTACAACCTCATAGGTATCTGACCAGCTTCATCTCTGCGTTTTGTTTCAGGAAAGATGTCAAAAGAACACACCACTATTTTATGGTCACACCCTGGAAATTCATGTCCCCCATGTACTGTAGATGGTTTTATGTCGTTCGTGAAAATAAGGTCTAGGATATTTGCGGATCTAGTGGGTGAATTTACGTGTTGTGTCCACCCTCCTGTGACGATGGAATTCAGGAGATTATCATACATTTGGGGTCCTCGGAGTGAAGACAATGATACATCTGGCATGTTGAAATCACCTCCGATAATTTTATAACTGTAACATTAAAAATAGTGCTGAGTATATTATCATATTCCCTGTTGGATGAAGGTGGTCGGTATGGCAGAGATATACAGTCTAGCCTTTCACAGGCAACTAAACAGTAACGAGGATTTTAGCCCCACAAAACATCAAGATTACAATGCAAAATCAACGCGCGAAAACCTGCTGGGTACATTTCAAATTACCCCGGCAATGGTACTCGTAAAATTGGAAAAGTTGGCTTCGAGAAAGTTTTCAGGTTGTGATGACATCAGACCATGCGTCCTGAAGCAGTGTTCAGGGAGTCTCTGCCAACCCCTAAATGATTTGTTTCAACACTCCTTTGATGTAGGGAAACTTCCATGCGAATGGAAACGAGCCATCCTATCCCATATCTTCAAGGGTGGTGACCGGCAGAATGCGACCAGTTACAGACCAGTTGCGCTTCTTCCAGTGATATCGAAGATATTGGAAAGTCTCACTGACGACCACATGAGAAAATGCTTCGACGGGACTAACCAACTCCATGAAGCGCAGCACGGTTTTTGGAGGGGAAGATCCTGTGTGACGAATCTTCTACTAGCTTGGAACAATTGGACACTATCCTGGGACGACAAAGTGCCAGTCCATGTGATCTTTCTTGACTTTGCAAAAGCACTCGACACAGTTCACCATGATCTGCTCCTTCTCAAAATAAGCAAGGAGGGTGTTTCTGCAGCACTTCTCTCATGGCTGAAAGATTACTTAGGCGAGAGAGAATTCTGCACCAAAGTCAACCGCATCCGATCATTCTGGCACACCTCGGCATAAGGGGTTCCTCAGGGTTCTATCTTATGTCCGTTGATGTTTTTGATTTGTATCAACGACCTGTCCTTTCAACTGAACTGCTCTGCGCTTCTTTACGCTGGCGACGTAAAGATTTGGAGAGCAATAAACTCATCGGAAGACTCAGACAGATTGCAGGCTGACCTGCAAACTCTGGGAGACTGGGCTCTGGCTAACGGAATGCCTTTCAACCTAAAGAAGTGCAAAGTAGTGAAACTTCATTCCGGAAGGTCACAGAGTGTAAATTACACCCTTGGTGGCCAGAACTTGAGTTGTGTGCCATCAGAGCGTGATCTAGGTCTTATTCTAACAGAAAAGCTAGACACCGGTGGAAATTACACGAGGGACGTCGCCAAAGCATACGCAACTTTACACTTTATGCATAGGCAGCTGGGAGCTCTTACTCCCGAACTATTCTTAAGGTTGTATAAGACATACGTGAGGCCTCACCTTGAGGTGCATAATATCATTGCTCCTCCGCTACTCAAAAGGGATGCTAACATCCTAGAAAGTGTCCAGAGACGAGTGAGGAAATAAGCGATCGGCCTCCGCAACAGATCATACGAGGAAAGGCTGAAGAAATTAAGTCTTTTCACACTTAGTTACCGTAGTCACACGGAAGACCTCACCACTGTCTACAAGATCTTAAATGACCAGGCCCACCCAAATAAAAGCATCCTGCCCTTAAGTGATTATAGGCTTCCACGAAGTAACCTGCTAATGATAGCACACTAGAGACCAAAGACTCGAGTGCGTTCACATTTCTTTTCGCCTCGAGTTTGCTGTCTCTAGAACGCCTTACCGGCGGCCGTGACTTCAGCGCCATCTGTGGAGACTTTTAAGCGGAAGCTGGACAATCATGCAGAAATTCAAGGTTGTGTCTCAATGGCTTATCCTCTTAAAATTTAAAACCACACTGTCAATGGATAAGCATACGAACTAAATCCCCACGACCCGTTCTGTCTTCTCTCACTGTACCGACTACTGTATCTTTTCCTTAGGTCACCTTTATTATTTCACTTATCTCAACCTATATTATCTACACTACAACCTATTATTATTATTACTATTCTGCCTTTATGACTACACCGAGTGACCAAGGGGAGTTAAGCCAAACTCCATTCACGACAGCAACACAGTCCTAACATACTGCATACTACAAACCACATTTTGACCAATACCCCGCACCACTCCTCTTGGAGTCTACCAGAAATAAAGCAGTTGAGTAGCGGGACTTACTATGCAGAAGTTCACCAAAGATCTGGAACCTCTACCTTACAATCAAGAGGCGAGCTCAAAGAAATCACTGGTTTATACTAGCTCGTAATCAGGATATTGGATATTGGACATTAGAGAGCGTGTATTGACTTTTGAGTCACTATGAGTAGCTTGGATTTAAAACCAAAATATGAAATAGGTAAGATGCTTACTGTTTTCTTATATAGAATCACGTGCATTAAGGTGAAAAATTACTTTGTTTCCATGGGCCTCTTATGTATGAGGCAAAATGTCTAGACGTCAAAGTGAAAGAAGATGGTGTAATGTATTTTGTGCATTACCAAGGTTGGAATAAAAAGTAATAATATTTCAGTATTAATTTACATTTTGATATAGCTGGGATGAATGGGTGACAGAGAAACGTATGTTCAAGTATAATGAAGAGGGTTTGAGAAAACAAAAAGAATTAGAACGACAAATGTAACTTGTGTAAAGCAACGTTTCTGATCATGATGCTTCTTATAATTTTCAGAAAATCGGGGAAGGTTAAAGTTTTGAGGAAGTCCGACTTAAAGTCACAGTCATTGCCACCTCCAGAAGTCCTGGAGGACGTGGAACGGACATTGAGGCCTGGTCAAGTGAAACAAGGTGAGATATTACCCGGTTATATACTAAGTGGCGCTATAGAGGAAGATGCTCCTAAGGCCAAGAGCGTAAAGACCAACAAAGAAACCAACGGGAAAACTGATACTCGTGTACCTGCTGATTTGAAAGAGACTGAAGATATTAAACCAGCCATTAAGTGTTGTGAAGATTCACACACACCATCTACTCAATCTGTAACAGTATCAAGTAGGAGAAGGAAAGGCCGAGTGTCATCAGCGCTAAAGTCTCTTGAAAATGCAAGTATTTCGTATTTATTGTGACACAATTTTTCATTCTATGCGATTTAAATTTGGTTTTTCCGAGATAGTTTGTACTATGGTATTGTGATTCATTTTTTGAGATAAAAAATTCCTCTTTGGAGGAGATAATAAAGTAGCAGCGTTGTGTCAAATGACAATTCTAAGTCGATATTTGTGTTATCTAGCTCATTCGAAACGTATTTTAACACTGTGACCACTAGTCCTCATGAGATTGTCCTCATTAATTTAATTTTCTGTATGTTCACTCCTGCGAACGAATTCACTTCTTTTAACTGTCCTCTGGTTTTCAAGTCCTCTTAGAAAGTTGTTCATGGAACTAAATATTTCTTTGAGCTGAAGCTGTGTTTCAGATCAAGATAATAAAGATAGAAAGCTCTTGTAGTCTGTGTTAATCCTTGAAATGTATATCTCCGCAGAGATCTAATTTCTCTCTTTGAGAGAGTTCACCGATGGAGCTGTTACTACTGAATCAGGTAAGGAGTAGCAATTTTTGACCATTCTGTGAGAGGATCTAAATTAAATTGTAGATGTATTTTTATTCGACCTAGGTCTGAGCACCTTTTTGTGGTGAAGATTGTGAATTCCTAAATCATCCTTTAATGTACGGTATGCCGAAATTAAGTCACCTCTCCTCCTCCTTCGGTATGATAATGGAAAGAGATTTAAATGCTCCATCCTCTTGTCATAGGAAGGTTTGGGTTACCACTAATTAATTTCGTTCCTACCCTCTGTACTCTTTCTAGGATTTGTGCCCCCTTTTATGAAGCATGGACTCACCACTTGTGTGCAGTATTCCAGTCGAGGCCTGCTGACATACGTTGCATAGAGTACTTAGAACAAAGACTGGGGGTAGCATCTTGACAAGAAACTGAGCAGGCTTGTAGATGTTAGGAGCGAGAGCATTATTTTTTTATATGTATATATTCATACTCTCAAGTTTACCGTTATATTTTTCACTGTTTTTCATATATCTTAGGAAGATGGCCTTCTCTCTCAGCCTCGTTTGTCGGTGTCACTGCCTCCATCTTTGAAATCTTGGCTTATCGATGACTGGGATTTGATTACTCGTCAAGCTCGGGTAAGTAATCTTCAGTTGCGTTATATCATCCAGTCAGGAAAGCAATTTCCAATTTTTGAGCGTTGGTCGAAATTTGTTAATTTAGTGATCAATTTAGTCATTTGGATGTTACACAGTATGTACTTTGGCTCACCTTGGTTCCGGGTGATCAGGAATGTTCTCATCTTGAGTGTTGGTTGGCTCGCCACCGTTGCACCTCGATGGGTTGAAAATCGCAATGAACCCTAGTCGAGAGTGCACTCGGATGTGTAGTAGTTTTTGTTACAGGGAGAAACCTTGCGACCCTCTCTTTCATCGTTCAGAGAATTCAACGATGTATCAAAATTCCACTATTAGTGTTATTATTTGAACAAAGCAAGAACAACAGTCGTTTCTGCAGAATAAAGTGACTGGTACCATCATTGTTTATTTCGTTGCCTTCTCGTCAGCTGAGCTGCTTACAGGCCAAAGGCATTATTAAATGTATCTACAAAAACAATTTTAACATACTTGCACAGAGGTCATCTGTTTTATTTCATTATTTAGGTCTTTTCTTGTTCGGTGTGTTTGACGCTTAACTTAACTAAGCCTGTCTTAACAGATAACTACGGATGAGATGAATTAGTCTAAATATCTATTAGGAGAATGCGTTGGTTTTTTTTATAAACGACATGAAACCATCTACAGTACATGGGGGACATGAATTTCCAGGGTGTGACCATAAAATAGTGGTGTGTTCTTTTGACATCTTTCCTGAAACAAAACGCAGAGATGAAGCTGGTCAGATACCTATGAGGTTGTACACACATGCTGACTGGGAATTGTATCAGCACCTAATTAGATGTTCTAATTGGGACTCGCACTTTTCGAACGAGTCCTGACTATATAAATAAACTATTTATTCCTAGAACGAATCAACTATTAGTCTACTACAGTACCTAAACGCGCTTAAATACCCTTACTTCTCTAAAGACTGTAGATAAACTAGTAGCATAGATGCATAAAAAGACTTAGTAGAAATAAATGTGTATGTTTACTAAATTACAATGTACAACAAATATAAACATATATGTTCGACTCCGCATACTTTTTCTCTGCCCTCAATTGAGTATAACTTGAGTAGGAGTAAATTCATGTCACTACCACCGTTTTTCAGCAGAATGGAAGATATACCACCTGGACCAATAGTGTTACTAAGCTTAAGATTTGCGACAGCTTTATCGATCTCGTGTGTGGTGAAAAGTATGTCACTTAAACATTCGTCTGTTTTACGTGGGAAATCTACTACCTCATCGTTCTCTAAGGTGTATAGTCTGGCGAAGTGCTTGCTAAACAGTTCACATATCACCTCAGGATTTTCGTAAGCAATCCCGTCTAAGTATAATATTTTAGGATAGGCTGTTTTGGAGTTCGTCAACCTGCTTTTGAAAAGTTTGGCTATTTCTCCTGAGTTATGCGGTACCTGAATGTCTCGCATTTCTTTGTTTCTGAGGCCTATATTTCTCAACTCTTCAATTCTATTGAGAAGGGACTTAATAGTAATTAGTGATGACAAGTCATGATATCTGTAGTATTTTATTGAGTGCTTTCGTAGACTTCTCCTAAACGATGTCGGAATATAATCGCTTTGGAGGAGTCTGAAGCTAAGAATCTTCTCAGGTGCAATGACGTCATGAATTGAGTTAATATTCCGATAAAAGTTGTTAAGAATTGCCTCTAAGGACTCGTTCGAAAAGTGCGAGTCCCAATTAGAACATCTAATTAGGTGCTGATACAATTCCCAGTCAGCATGTGTGTACAACCTCATAGGTATCTGACCAGCTTCATCTCTGCGTTTTGTTTCAGGAAAGATGTCAAAAGAACACACCACTATTTTATGGTCACACCCTGGAAATTCATGTCCCCCATGTACTGTAGATGGTTTTATGTCGTTCGTGAAAATAAGGTCTAGGATATTTGCGGATCTAGTGGGTGAATTTACGTGTTGTGTCCACCCTCCTGTGACGATGGAATTCAGGAGATTATCATACATTTGGGGTCCTCGGAGTGAAGACAATGATACATCTGGCATGTTGAAATCACCTCCGATAATTTTATAACTGTAACATTAAAAATAGTGCTGAGTATATTATCATATTCCCTGTTGGATGAAGGTGGTCGGTATGGCAGAGATATACAGTCTAGCCTTTCACAGGCAACTAAACAGTAACGAGGATTTTAGCCCCACAAAACATTAAGATTACAATGCAAAATCAACGCGCGAAAACCTGCTGGGTACATTTCAAATTACCCCGGCAATGGTACTCGTAAAATTGGAAAAGTTGGCTTCGAGAAAGTTTTCAGGTTGTGATGACATCAGACCATGCGTCCTGAAGCAGTGTTCAGGGAGTCTCTGCCAACCCCTAAATGATTTGTTTCAACACTCCTTTGATGTAGGGAAACTTCCATGCGAATGGAAACGAGCCATCCTATCCCATATCTTCAAGGGTGGTGACCGGCAGAATGCGACCAGTTACAGACCAGTTGCGCTTCTTCCAGTGATATCGAAGATATTGGAAAGTCTCACTGACGACCACATGAGAAAATGCTTCGACGGGACTAACCAACTCCATGAAGCGCAGCACGGTTTTTGGAGGGGAAGATCCTGTGTGACGAATCTTCTACTAGCTTGGAACAATTGGACACTATCCTGGGACGACAAAGTGCCAGTCCATGTGATCTTTCTTGACTTTGCAAAAGCACTCGACACAGTTCACCATGATCTGCTCCTTCTCAAAATAAGCAAGGAGGGTGTTTCTGCAGCACTTCTCTCATGGCTGAAAGATTACTTAGGCGAGAGAGAATTCTGCACCAAAGTCAACCGCATCCGATCATTCTGGCACACCTCGGCATAAGGGGTTCCTCAGGGTTCTATCTTATGTCCGTTGATGTTTTTGATTTGTATCAACGACCTGTCCTTTCAACTGAACTGCTCTGCGCTTCTTTACGCTGGCGACGTAAAGATTTGGAGAGCAATAAACTCATCGGAAGACTCAGACAGATTGCAGGCTGACCTGCAAACTCTGGGAGACTGGGCTCTGGCTAACGGAATGCCTTTCAACCTAAAGAAGTGCAAAGTAGTGCAACTTCATTCCGGAAGGTCACAGAGTGTAAATTACACCCTTGGTGGCCAGAACTTGAGTTGTGTGCCATCAGAGCGTGATCTAGGTCTTATTCTAACAGAAAAGCTAGACACCGGTGGAAATTACACGAGGGACGTCGCCAAAGCATACGCAACTTTACACTTTATGCATAGGCAGCTGGGAGCTCTTACTCCCGAACTATTCTTAAGGTTGTATAAGACATACGTGAGGCCTCACCTTGAGGTGCATAATATCATTGCTCCTCCGCTACTCAAAAGGGATGCTAACATCCTAGAAAGTGTCCAGAGACGAGTGAGAAAATAAGCGATCGGCCTCCGCAACAAATCATACGAGGAAAGGCTGAAGAAATTAAGTCTTTTCACACTTAGTTACCGTAGTCACAGGGGAGACCTCACCACTGTCTACAAGATCTTAAATGACCAGGCCCACCCAAATAAAAGCATCCTGCCCTTAAGTGATTATAGGCTTCCACGAAGTAACCCGCTAATGATAGCACACTAGAGACCAAAGACTCGAGTGCGTTCACATTTCTTTTCGCCTCGAGTTTGCTGTCTCTAGAACGCCTTACCGGCGGCCGTGACTTCAGCGCCATCTGTGGAGACTTTTAAGCGGAAGCTGGACAATCATGCAGAAATTCAAGGTTGTGTCTCAATGGCTTATCCTCTTAAAATTTAAAACCACACTGTCAATGGATAAGCATACAAACTAAATCCCCACGACCCGTTCTGTCTTCTCTCACTGTACCGACTACTGTATCCTTTCCTTAGGTCACCTTTATTATTTCACTTATCTCAACCTATATTATCTACACTACAACCTATTATTATCATTATTATTACTATTCTGCTTTTATGACTACACCGAGTGACCAAGGGGAGTTAAGCCAAACTCCATTCACGACAGCAACACAGTCCTAACATACTGCATACTACAAACCACATTTTGACCAATCCCCGCACCACTCCTCTTGGAGTCTACCAGAAATAAAGCAGTCGAGTAGCGGGACTTACTATGCAGAAGTTCACCAAAGATCTGGAACCTCTACCTTACAATCAAGAGGCGAGCTCAAAGAAATCACTGGTTTATACTAGCTCGTAATCAGGATATTGGATATTGGACATTAGAGAGCGTGTATTGACTTTTGAGTCACTATGAGTAGCTTGGATTTAAAACCAAAATATGAAATAGGTAAGATGCTTACTGTTTTCTTATATAGAATCACGTGCATTAAGGTGAAAAATTACTTTGTTTCCATGGGCCTCTTATGTATGAGGCAAAATGTCTAGACGTCAAAGTGAAAGAAGATGGTGTAATGTATTTTGTGCATTACCAAGGTTGGAATAAAAAGTAATAATATTTCAGTATTAATTTACATTTTGATATAGCTGGGATGAATGGGTGACAGAGAAACGTATGTTCAAGTATAATGAAGAGGGTTTGAGAAAACAAAAAGAATTAGAACGACAAATGTAACTTGTGTAAAGCAACGTTTCTGATCATGATGCTTCTTATAATTTTCAGAAAATCGGGGAAGGTTAAAGTTTTGAGGAAGTCCGACTTAAAGTCACAGTCATTGCCACCTCCAGAAGTCCTGGAGGACGTGGAACGGACATTGAAGCCTGGTCAAGTGAAACAAGGTGAGATATTACCCGGTTATATACTAAGTGGCGCTATAGAGGAAGATGCTCCTAAGGCCAAGAGCGTAAAGACCAACAAAGAAACCAACGGGAAAACTGATACTCGTGTACCTGCTGATTTGAAAGAGACTGAAGATATTAAACCAGCCATTAAGTGTTGTGAAGATTCACACACACCATCTACTCAATCTGTAACAGTATCAAGTAGGAGAAGGAAAGGCCGAGTGTCATCAGCGCTAAAGTCTCTTGAAAATGCAAGTATTTCGTATTTATTGTGACACAATTTTTCATTCTATGCGATTTAAATTTGGTTTTTCCGAGATAGTTTGTACTATGGTATTGTGATTCATTTTTTGAGATAAAAAATTCCTCTTTGGAGGAGATAATAAAGTAGCAGCGCTGTGTCAAATGACAATTCTAAGTCGATATTTGTGTTATCTAGCTCATTCGAAACGTATTTTAACACTGTGACCACTAGTCCTCATGAGATTGTCCTCATTAATTTAATTTTCTGTATGTTCACTCCTGCGAACGAATTCACTTCTTTTAACTGTCCTCTGGTTTTCAAGTCCTCTTAGAAAGTTGTTCATGGAACTAAATATTTCTTTGAGCTGAAGCTGTGTTTCAGATCAAGATAATAAAGATAGAAAGCTCTTGTAGTCTGTGTTAATCCTTGAAATGTATATCTCCGCAGAGATCTAATTTCTCTCTTTGAGAGAGTTCACCGATGGAGCTGTTACTACTGAATCAGGTAAGGAGTAGCAATTTTTGACCATTCTGTGAGAGGATCTAAATTAAATTGTAGATGTATTTTTATTCGACCTAGGTCTGAGCACCTTTTTGTGGTGAAGATTGTGAATTCCTAAATCATCCTTTAATGTACGGTATGCCGAAATTAAGTCACCTCTCCTCCTCCTTCGGTATGATAATGACTCACTAGTGAACATTTTTTTCGAAAACAGATAAATAGGTGGTTATTTACTTTTTGATTTGTCTTCTATAGGCCTCGGTGGGATAAAAGTTTTGTTTTTCATCACATTTCAGTATATACCTTAACCACGTGAAAATTACTTTGGCTTATTCTGTTATTATTATTGTTTGCATTAATTCCTAGAGGAACATAGGTTTTCAGCCGCTCACGTCTCCATTGCGTTCAGTTCTCTGCTAAAGTTTTCATCTGGTTCCAAGTCTGCCCACATGCTTTTATCTCCCTTTCACATGACCTCCTCCAAGTCACCCTCGCCGCTTCCCATTCAGTCGGGTTCCACTCGACTAATGGCTTGTCTAGTGATGTCACTTGATGGTTTGTTTTCTCAGAGTATGGCCACAATCCAATCCACCTCCATTTCTTCCTGCTTATTTCTTGCACAATCGGTTCCTGGCTGGTTTGCTCCCAGAGATCCCTGTTGCTGATCTTTTCTAGTCGACCATCTGATCTTGAGTGGTATTGAGCGAAGACAACTGTTGATAAAGGTCTGTAGTTTGTGTGAGGTACTCTATGACGCACTGGCCAAGTCTCTTATCCGTATAGTGAGTAGCACTGACTGACTTCACATTGGAGTTGAAAATTCGGATCTTGTTTTTCATACTGAGTGCTGTCTTTTGACCTCCACACAGACTTGAGAGTAGTGAAAGCTTTCCTTGCTTTGATATCCTCGTCAGTTCCGTCGGCCTGTAGTTGAAACGATGCTTCCCAGGTAGGTGGGTAGGTAAAGGAGGTTGTTTCTTCCAGGTTCCTTCCATTTATGCTGGCTGATTGTTTTCTGTTGTTGTTGTTTCCCAGAAATCTTCATCACCTTTGTTTTCTCTATGTTCACCTGAAGTCCTATCTTTGATGCTTCTTCTCCCAACTTGTTTTTTTTCACTTGCATGTCTCCCATTTTGTGGGAAATCAGACATATATCATCGGCGAAGTCCAGATCCTCCAAGTCGTTTTTGTGTGGGTCCATTTTATGCCTGCTTTTCCGTTGCCTGCTGTCTGTCGCATTATTCACTCTACCGCAATCAGGAAAATCATTGGCAATAGTAGGCAGCCAGCTTGTCTTACTCCTGTCCTCACTTCGAAGGATTCCGTAAGTTTCCTGTTGTGGAATACTCGGCATGCAGCATTGTCGTACAGCTGTTGAATGAGATGTATTATTGTCGGTGGCACCCCGTAGTAGCGAAGTAGTTGCCAAATCACCTCTCGATCGACGCTGCACTATCGAAGGCCTTTTCGAAGTCGATGAAGTTCGGGTAGAGAGGTGACTGCCATTCCAAGCTTTGTTCAATGATGATCCGTAGTGTGTCGATTTGATCAATACATGACTTGTTTCTCTTGAATCCAGCCTTTTCCGGTCGAAGGTTTTCATCCAGGTCGACTTGTTTGATTCTCTCCAGGATGATGCGGCTTAGTATTTTGCTTCGGATGGACAGGAGCATAATGCCGCCTCAGTCCTTGCATTGACTTAGGTCTCCTTTCTTTGGCAGTTCGAATAAGCATCCTTTCTTCCAATCCGCAGGTACCTTGTCCTCTTTCCACACCTTCTCCAGTAGTGGTGTCATCAAATCCGTTGTTGTCTCTGGGTTCATTTTCGATACGTCTGCTGGGATTGCATCTGGTCGTGCTGCTTTTCCAGCTCCAGCTTTTGGCATCTTGATTGCCTTCAGGACTTCTGATTTCGTCGGGGGTTGGTGTTCACTGGTAGCTCTTTATCCGCTGTTGGTATTATTTGGCGCGTTGTAGGTGGCGGTCGAATATTTTTGCAACGTTAGCTTACTTCTTGAAGATGGGAATCACTTACCTTTTTATTTATATTCCTGTCATTTGATACCGCAGAATTTACTGGTAAATAATTATATTCTAGTTGACAGACTCAATAAAGGATAAAATATATACATATATCTTGTATTCTAATGCAGGCCACAACAAAGAAGAACCCAACGTTGAGTATTTGTTTTTATTAAAGTTACTGCTCAGCAGTCCGCTACGTCCTCCTTTATGGCTGGCTGTGAGCGAGACCTGGCCATTGAGAGTGGAAGAGATGAAAAGGCTGACTAGCTGTCTTCGATCATAGGCGCCTGCGTTTTATCTCCTGTGTTAGTTGGTGGTATAATAAGTTGAGCAATATTGAGGTTAGGCGTTGGTCGAGTGCTAGGTAAGGAGGGGAAATCAATCGACAATGAGGCTGTGAAATTACATCAAGTGAGAGGGTTAGGACATGTGTTACGTATGCATGCCTGGTCATCGCCTTCCTCGACAATGGGCAATGTTAGCTGGCTGACATAGGGTCAGGTTGGGAAAGAGTTAGGTAGCGGCGGTCAAACCAAAACATGGCTTCACCAGTCAATGAAGAAATCCACAACAGTTAGTTTAAGCCAGCCAGTCAGCCAGCCACGTAGGAAGGTGTAGACTGGCTTCCTGACTGGTTGGGGTCCTCGGGATGACGGTAAGAACCAATGAAGGCTGAAAACAATTGGTGATATCGTTCAAATGAAACTATATTGATCTTCGTTATTACTATACCTTTGTCTCACACCTCTGTATTTACTGTCTCTATTATGCATTTCTTCTACTTTCTTCTCTTGCTTTGTGTGCTACATGGAGTGGAGGGAGTGTGTGGCGACTTGGACTGCTGCACATCGGTGAAAAGTTCTATGTGGAAAACAGACAGACCTTTAGAAGGCTGGATTCAACATGGAACTTGGCACCGAAATGCAGCAGTTCGAGTTGCCACGTTCCAAAGAGCACACAGAGATAGACAAGAAAATGAGTGAAGAGAATCAATAGAGTTTTGACAAGTATAAGAGTGACACAGAATGAGTAATGGTAGAAAGGAATATGAAAGATTACAGAGACTGAATACATCTGCGTAAGCCATTGACAACGATTTTGAGCCATGTCACCTATTGTCTCCAGCCATTGATTCTTAGAGTCCCGAGGGCCCCAACCCGGAAGTCTGCATCTCCCTCCCTACCTGACTCAGTTTAACTGTCAAGGATTTCATGGATTGATGAGGCCATGTTTTTGTTTGGCATGGCACCGCTTACTCTTTTCCAACCTGCACCAATAACAGCTAGTAATGCCTGTCGGGGGGGGGGGGCGGTGGTTAGGCATGGCAGCACGTGACCTAGCTATCCCTATCTATGTAACTTTATAGCCTCGTCGATTGATTTTCCCTCTTTGCCCAACACTACGCCTAATTTGACGTCGACATTACTTGCCTTATTATACCACCTAACGTGAGAAAGAGATCGTAGACACCTATGATCAAAAATAGTCAACCTTTTCATGTCTTCAACTCGTATTGGCCATGTTTCAGAGAGCCATAGAGAAGGACGGAGCGAACTGCTGAGCAATACGCACGTCCTTTGGTTGATAGTCGGATGTCACGCCTACGCCAGAAATGGTGTAAGTTAGCGAAAGCAGCTCGAGCTTTTTGGATCCGTGCTGAAATTTTGTCACCAATCAATCCGTTGGTGCTGATACAACTTCCCAAATAGGTGAAGTGGTCAACATGTTCTATCACTTCACTCCCTATCACTAAGCTAGGAGTTGATGTGAACTAATCCTGTAGCAGCATCTTACATTTTACAGGGGCGATTCGCATGCCAAACATACGAAGATTGCTGCTCAAAGTGTTCAAAAGACTCTGTATTTTGTCAGCGTCCTCCCCTAACAGGACTATGTCATCTGCATATTCTAAGTCCATAAGACTATTCCCTGGTAACAAGTCGATTCCTAAGCCGTTAAGTTCAGAAGGATTCACTTCTAATTATTTCACTGGTTTATATGAAGCCTTATTAGTCGGCTTCTCTCTGTTTTCCTGTTTTTTAGGTTTCTGCAACAAAATGAAAGCCGTTACTTCCGAATTGAGGATTACAGTGTGGCGACGGCAGAATATCAACGAAGAGCGATGTGTTAAATGTGCATATAACTAACTGTCACCGTTGTAAAAAACAAAACAAAATTGATACGTGTGCTCTGAAATATATGATGTATAATATAATTCCACATTAGTTTATTTATTAGATGTATCACACAGTGAGTGAAACAGTATTAGTATTTACTGGATGACAGAGTTGTTTCGAACACAATTCATTATTGCTGTTCATAATCATTTCGTCAATTATAATTACACGACTTCGAAACTTGAGTTTTATAGTTTTCTTTGTCCTCTCCTATTTGTCGTCGTCGTTGGTATGTAGAAGATTCCAGATATCTGGGTGGACAGGTGTTATATCATTCCTATTACACGCAACCTTGTTGACATTAGATTTTAAAACTGTCATTTTATCCCATGCAGCCTATTGTATGCACAGTTGTGTGTGATTGCATGTAGTGATTGAGATAGTTGCTGAACTATTCTCTAGATTTCTTATCGTATTCGGGTCAACCAATCTAGATTTTGCTTTTTTATTTTCAGCTAGTCTGACTGTTCCTGTCCTACTAGTTTGACCTATGTAATTGACCAGACAATCATCTCAGACAGGGTATTAGATAAACTAAATTGTTTTGTTTTATAGGCTCCACATGATTGATCCTTCAACCGACAAAGCATGTTTCTAATTGAGTTTGTGGTTGGTTTGAATACCAGCCAATTTTATTCCTGCCTGCCTTGTTAAGAATTCTGCGTTAGGTTGTTTCCGAGGTTCCTTCCTTGTATGGAATTACTACTGATGATTTCGACTCCTTGTTGTTGGTGTTGTCTTGTGCACATTTGACATGCATGGCGTCATTAATATTATTATTATCACTACCACTACTATCATTATTTATTTTATTTTTACATTTTCTTACATATTTCTTGACTAATTTATCCGAGTAATTATTAAGTTTCAAGGCATCTTTTATGTGTATCACTTCCTGTCTTAGATTTTCCTTGGTACTACTTAGTTTTCCCGACCACTTCATGTTTAGTTACGTGTTATCCTTGTAAAATTAATTTATTCTAACCATTTCTACCTTTCTGATTGTGTGTGTGTGCATTGATTTTCTTCGTTAATTATCACCCTTTGCCTGCTTGACATGTTGACACTGACTGACTAATTATTGTTAACAAACAAACATATCAGTGCCACTTGATGATGATTGGTAAATTGTTTGTTGTGTATTGTAATAAAAATGCTATACGCATTCTATGCATGTAATTATTTAGGTCTTCAAATCCTAACAATAACCCGTATCTTTCCTAAACCTAAGCCTTACATGAAAATATCCCTAAACTTAACTGTCATCTAACTCGAACCAACACCCTGATGTCGCTTAATGTTTCCCTAACCTAAGCTGAAACTTCCCAGATATCCCATTTATTTTACATAACACTTCGATGAGCATATTTTTATTGATGTTGAAAAAATTATTTGCTAGGTCTCACTAACTTGTTGAATGAGGTTTTCAAGGTCATTGGTGCGACCGCATTCCATTGGTGGTTTTTCGTGGTGCTTAAAGTTTAACTTGGCCTTTTTATGGAATAAATATTGAAAAAAAATAGAAAAAAATCCTAGGAACTATATGAGAAGTTTGTTATGTTTACTTTTAATTAAATAAGTTCTGAAATATTGATTTAAGTCTAAACAGCTATCCCGAAAAATTTATCAAGGAACACATGACAAAGAAAGCGCTGAAGAAGGACTACTCACTATCTGTAAACAAGAAGCCACTTTATATACGATTGCAATTCAAGGGCGATCGATATACCAAGTGAGATAATTACGAGGAAATTAGGAAAATCAGTTCAAAGAAATTTCAATGCTGGCGGCGAACAACACGTTTTATTCGCTACACAACCGATGATGGTGCTACCTCGACTGAAAGATGAAGTACCTAGACTAGACTAGCTGGCCACTTCAAATTTTATCTACCAATTCAACTACAACAGTGATTGTGGTGGAGTGAGTTATATCGACCGTTGTTGCTCTAGGAACTTGATTTTTTGTGGTCGCTCGCTCGAGAACATCTCTCACTATGGCTAAGTAAAGGTGTAGTGAAAGCCATTAACAAACAGTTCGATATTGGACCATCTGGTGCAAACCGGCCGGCCAGCCAGCGTGGAAGAATCCTTCTCTATCATCATCTACCGGTTACACTTCATGAAATTAAGATTTGTTCAGTGAGTTGAGATGAACAATATGTCTGGTAATTGTTGATACCGGACATCTCGTCGAGATTTCTAAGTCCTTCAAAATATTAAATAGACAAAGGACAGCAAATTTACTACGATTTGCCGAAGCGATCGCAATCAAATGATTTAAACCAAACAGACTTATGCATACAGAAAGAGAGTGTGTGTGATTAACCTCTCACTCGCTTGGTAATTGAATTTTGATTACATTAATTAATAATTAGTCATCTAATTCAGTGAGTGATCTCAACTCACTGAACAAATCTTAATCTCATAAAGTGTAACCGCTTTTGTTGGTTTTTGAGTTGCTATGTGAACAAGCTACAAGCTAACACTGTTCTGTTAATTAAAAATTTTTTTCTGTTTCCTGTCTTACCTTTCCCCCCCACCGCCTCTTTTCAACTTTGAAAGCGTATAAATTGATGATGAAAACTTAAACTAAAAATTGTAATGCTGCTTTCAGTTTGGATGCGTCAATTTTATAGTATCTCTTCTTCTCTACTTACAGCACTCAAACATTAAAGTATGTTATTATCATCTATAGATAACCATTGTAATTTCAGTTAGGGGTGTGCAGTTCACTGATAAGAACCTGTGAAATAGAATGACGATATCACTTTATACTGCAAATTTCATCTTCCTTTCTTTATCGAAATTTATCAAGGGAACTAAATGTATGAAACATTTTATCGTAATTTGTGAATGTGAAAATGCAGGAAAGACTCCTTTTTTCCACATCAAAACCTCTTCTTAATTCCTATCAAGCAAGTTTCGTCGGTCTGTGAGCCAATAAAACAACCGCATAAGAATCCATGTCTAAATAGTGCTTTCATATGTGATTTCGTATCCCACCAATGTTCCTCAAAACTTTTCCTATTTTGATGAAATATGTTTCATTGCTGCAGTTAGTAGTGATGCATAGATTATGGTGGCGAGTCAAGTCAAGTGATGAGGAAGGACTTTTTAAATATTCACATTAAGACCAGTTTACTGGAGAAAATCAAAACAAAAGCTTACCACCTCCTCCAGACGCGACACCACTGAAGACGATGCACAATGTTACCAGTATCCAAACGTTTGTCATTTTGAATAACCGTTCCTTGAACCGTGGAAGCATTTATGCAAATACTGCTACCAATCATTGCAAGGTTTCACGCTATTCGCCCTTTTAATACATTCAACCATTATGTCTGTGTCACTGACAGCTCCAATGCATATCTAGAACATAGTGCTAACAATTTCACACAGACAGCTTAGAATGATCAATCAAAAGATACTAAGTGGCTCTTCTGACATAGAAACGTTCTGGTTCTCAATATCTAAGGATTTCCATAACCTGTTAATTCTTGTCCACGTTTCTTGTGAAAAATCTGTGAATCGATGAATAGAATAGGACCCTGTGTTTAGAATAGACAGGGTTTTCTCATTAACTGCCGTATTTCCTGCCTTTATTCTAGCAGTGAGACGGTTTCTCAACTGAGCATATCAGTGTGGATGGTGAATTTCGCTAGAGAACGCATTCCACAAGGATACGTAAGCACACTCCTCTGTCGTGTCAAGAGGGTTGAGACAAAGTTTTGAGAAGCTATCGTTTGGAACACTACTTTGACTTACGCTACTCAGACGAACTCAATTATGTTTTTAAGATAACCTATTGTATTCTTGCTACGTGGTGAAGTTTTCTTCATTTAGAAATTCTGCACGCAACGGAGAGCTTGATTATTTATCTATTCGAACCAGACCATTCTGGCTGTATAGGTGTAACAATTTACCTAGTTTCCGTTTTCTTTATTTCATCAGTGTGTATTCCTCTTGTTATTACGACTGTTAATGAGAGCAAGACGTAAACAGTAAAGAAAATTCTCTTTTTCTGACGAGTCATTTTCGTGTGCTGTACGACCTTGATTATATTTAACAAAGAATTAGAATAAGAACCAGTCAGACACTGGTAAATTTGTTTTGGAAAACCTTTTTACATAATGTAGGGTGTAATCTTGAAGGGGATGACCAATATAACACCATAAGAAATGGGTGGAAATTGGAATGATTTAACAGGTGTGAAAAATAACTGTTCCCATATAGTTGTGTCAAGTGGATGAAAACTGCTGGAAAGACAACAAATTGTTTTCATAAAATCTGAATGAAAATGCGTTGTTAGTAATGCAGAATAATATAGTGATAAAAAATAAGGACAATAGTAATAATAGTAAAATTACTAGTCAAAGTTATGATGATGGGAACTTTACTCTGGCCAGTGAATTTATGTGATGCTTCGGAGCGTAGACGTCCGATTTCCAATTCCTAGTAGCCAATGATTTGGCTATGCATAGATGGTGTATTCGAAGTCCTTTGGTGCTATAGTGGGAAACTCTGTGTAGCCCTGTGACGAAGACTTGTCGATGTTTGAAGAAAGAGCCGCAAGTATCTTTTTATCCCCTAGTTGGCTATGCATGACAGTGATCTAATCGGCACACGTTCATCATCATCGTAAGACGCTTTATCGAATTTTACACAATTTCTATGAGTATTCACAGGTGTCATTTCAATTACTTCACAAGATATAGTTCATTAGAAATCACATATATATTTATACATTTGCGGGTGCACAGATTGATAATAAAATAGTTATTAAGGTTGTCCTCACTGAAACATTTTCTCTTATAGAGATGATTTCGCCAATTTAAAAAAAAACAACCTGTGCAGTCTTCATAGGCACCAAAATTGTGCATTATCAAACTCCTTTTCTTGATTCTCAACTTTCATTTGTTACACGTATTTTTGTTTTATTCACAAATCCTTTGTTCTTTTGTCAAATTATTATTAACAAACTTATCATAGATAGAACGGTACACTCTGTGTGGCCCACATCATTTCGATGTATCTTAGATACGAACGATGAATGAGGATCTGACAGCACACCAAAACCTTGTCTTGATTAATGTGTCGTCTTTTATACAGCGATTCGTGTTTTTCAAATTATGTTTCATTTGAGAAATACGAGCATAGAGGGTTCTTCATATGTGGGACCACTTTGTTCTTATTATTTTATGTTGTCATAATTATCTCCCCGAGAGAAAAAGAGGTGATGAAGATTCCTGGGCAACAACAACAGTCAGCATAAATGGGAGGAACCTGAAAGAAACAACCTACTTTACCTACCTGGGATGCATGGTTACCACTACCACCACAGGCGGAACTGACGAGAATATCAGGGAAGCGAGACAAGCTTTTATCACCCTCATGTCTGTGTGGAGGTCAACACTCAGCATGGAAAATAAGATGTGGATTTTCAGCTCCAATGTGAAGTCAGTCAGTGCAACTATACGGATCAGATACTTGGCCAGCGCATCATGAAGAGCACCTCAAACACATCAAAGACCTTCATTAGCAGCTGCCTTCGCTCAATACTCAAGATCAGGTGACCAGAAAAGATCAGCAACAGGGTGGGATCTCTGGGAACAAACCAACCAGGAACCGATTGTGCAACAAATAAGCAGGAAGAAATGGAGGTGGATTGGTAATACTCTGAGGAAACCATCAAGTGACATCACTAGACAAGCCATCGCTCGAGTGGAACGCGAAAGAGAAGTGGCGAGTTGGTCGTCAGTGTGAGGGTGACTTGGAGGTCATGTGAAGAGGAGATGAAAGCATATGATCAGACGTTGACCCAGGTAAAAACTTTAGCAGAGAACCGAACGCAATGGGGACGTGTGGCTGAAGCGCTATGTTCCTCTAGGAATTAAAGGAAAGAATAATAATAATAATTACCTACCCTTTCAAGACGTATACACAATGAAAGGAATAGATGCACACGTACGTACATGTTCAAAGTCGGATGGCACTTCTACTTTCAATATTAGGTGTGTCTTTATCACGTTTGATCAGATGTAATGATAGGCACATAAAGCAGCCTCTACAATCTAAGTCATAATAGTAGAATCAACGCTACCGAGGAGGTTTGGTGAAAGATTGTCTGATATTTCCTTATAATTCTTAAACTTTCTCAGTTTCAGCGTATTATTCTCTTGAGCGAGTATTCTAATAATAGACCACTGACTCACTCTCTGACGCTTTTTACACGTTCATCTTATTTCCTTTCATAGCTGATTCACTGTCGTCATAAACCAAATAAACCATCGAAGAGAGGTCTCTCTTCTTCTCCTTGTTGTGTCAAATAAACTCGGAAATTATTAAGTCACTTATATATATTCCATAAAACTTGTAAAAAAAATCTAAAAACGCCTCCTTCAAAAACACCAAGACTGGTAGTGATTAGAGCATAACTCATAAGACGCGAAATAACTGACAACTCAAGCTTGTTGACTGAAACTATTCGAACCAAATTCACGCTGAAGATAGCTGCTCTTATCAACCACTAATATAATAATGCCTTTGACACAGGAGATCCTTTACTGTCTCAGAGAATAGCCGGAACACTTTTTCCAGAGATGCTTAGAATGCAGGTTTCGGATAACGCTGATATGCACAAAATCATGTCAATTTAAAACAGTTAGTAACGGACACGAATTATGTTAATAGGAACATCAAGGATACTAAAAAGAGTTATTCAGGCACCTCATTTTATATGTATCGAGACCGTGACAGCTAACCCTAAAATGGACGAAATTAGACGTTGATTTCATACATTGAAACCTTACAATTTCAGAGGAGATTGTTTCATGAAAGTAGCTCAGCATATGTGTAGCATATTTTACTATCGGATGTTTATATAGATCATCTCAACGAACTATAATCATTTCCATGAATGAACGTTTACGATATATTGTGAACGTTTTGCCTGCCTATTGCAGACAACCAGTGATTTAATTATAAAAGGAGAGTTATTCAGCAAAAACTAAGTTACCCATCACGGTGTTACCATTTTCTATTTACACAGTCTCAAAATATACACCACACTTCCATAGCAACAAGACCGAAATTCTCAGAAATTCTCTTAATGAATTGATATCTGGAAATGTATATCGAGGTCGATGAATAATACTGAGCAGGTTTGTGATTCAGAAGCATTTCAGAAATACTCACTTACGAATTCATGTTGTTTACCTGAGGATTTCAGGTTATTGGTATGGTATATTCTCAGTAGCAAATAATTTTCTTAAATAAGAACTACCTCTGCTCAAAATACTATTGAATATATTGACTGATCAGAATTTTTATCTCAAAAATTCTGATACAAACGTTTTCTATTAATCCCTCGTTTCATTGACTTTTGTTTTAGATTTCTCAATGTAAGAAAATGTGATTTTATAAGCACATATAAATTGATGGAGGAACAGTCGATGTTGTGCTTATCTCTTCTGTGGTTAGTTTTGCTATTAAGTCCACAAGACTACTTGGGCGTACCACTGTGAAATGAGAAATGCGTATATGCATGTAAATAACCCTGGGTACATTATTTTGTTAACGGTTTTCTGAAGAAGAAGAAAAGCTTAATGCGTCCACACTTTCCAGTATAAGTTTCTTAAACACGAATGAAATTTTCTCTACAGTGACACAAAAAAAACAACAACATTAAACTGACGATTTTAAAATTCTACTTAACTGACAGCGTAGAACTAAGCTGAGAATTTCAGATCGATTCATCTTTGCCTGTCTAGGAAATAGAGCTTCTTGTATTCACAAGTCAGATGCGTTGAGTAGACTGAGAATTTGAAAATCAGAGCAAAAGGTATGTTATTTTATCAGAAACCAGTTTTATTTATAGGAAAGATGGGTAATTTAGCTCAGTGTTACTTTTTGCATGAGTGATAATTGCTATAACACAATTTTCAAAAGATTGGATGCTGAACAAAGAGTACTCTTTTCGATAAATTCATCATCAGGTTCTACAATTATAAATACATTATAGTGAATGAATTAGTGTTAGGAACAACATTAATGATGTTTTAATAACATCGAATCAATCAATAATATTGATAGATTACAGCTCAGTAGCGTCAACATAGAATAAGCTGAATGTCAGAAGGATTAGGAAAGATAATATTACACATTCATGAATTTATAGTCTCTACTGAAGACCAGGGCATTAGTAGTGGCTGGACTTGTTTCTTTTGCACTTAGAGCACTGATCGTTTGAGGCTAATTACAATAGCCTCTGCTGTTTGGAGCATGCGGTGCTTCGATGATGATTTTGGCAATTTATTAGGCACCCGGTAGATGATGATTGTGGAGCCATAGTAGGAGATGTTCTCGTGCAGGAAAAATCAAGACATTTTTAATATTAAGAATAATAAAAAGGTGCTGAAAACACTCAAATACTCAAACCACAGCTGACTCCAGCAACTGGAACAAATGATGGGAATACAACGAATTAGGAACACAAAACAACAACAAAAAAGAGAATGTATTCACAATAAGCCGAGCATAACATTACATACACTTTGTAAACTTTTTATACATACAAATATATATTATATATATACATATATATGTCCAAACCAAATTCGCTTTTAACAGTTTGAAAAAATTTGGGCATCGGGTGTTATATGATATTCATTATAATGAAGGTTTTTGTATTTCTCAATGAATGAAAAACAAAACGATATTATCGTTGCTCTTACTGACGTTTCGCTATTTAATGCTGCTGCTAATAGCTTTATAAAAGCAGTATTATTAAACCGGAATTTACAAAATACACTCAGCATATATATAACAAAGAGTTAAGAGGGGGGTGAGAAAATAGACTTGACTACTTAGGTCAAATTAAAAGGAGGATATATTGAAGGTAAAAATAACAATGAAGATGAATGACTAAACCAAATAACGAAGATAATAGTACATCTACCCTGGTTGGTATCAAAACAAAGTTTACTAACTTGATCATCGTTCGTCTCTCTGGGGGCATTTTTAGTTGTCAAGTTGGTCAATTAGTAAAGATAACAAAAACCAAGTGTAGATTGTTGGATTCGATGAGTGTGTAAAATTATAAAAGCAGCGTGTTCACATAGTGAACTTGCTTATTACACTCGTGTCGATTTTGTCACTTGACGGGGGAGGGGTTGAGGGTGTTGTAACCAGGTCAGATTCCGTTTTAGTCCATCATTCCTATTCAGTTCAGACAATTTGGATTCCACTTGATATGAAGTGCTTCTGATGATATTAGACGTTCTTTATGATTTCTGAAATGCTTTTTCTGGATGACAATTTCAATATTGTCAAAATCAATTTTGTGGCCTGATTCTATAGCGTAGTGTGTAGACAAGCTGTGGCTGATGATTTTTCAAGTTTTCATAGTTCAACGGGATTTCTCGGTGGTCGAAGAGATGCTCTAATAAATAATCTTAAAATTCTATTTTAATTCACGTACATCACAACATTCTGACAAGTTACTTATTTGGACTATTAAAAAACACTCGTCTTATTTCCCATCTAATTGTAATTGATCAATAACACTCATATTATTATTATTACTTCTGAATGTACATTATCCTATATTACTGATTTGTATTCAAATGTCTAATTACGTCACCCAACCTATTTTTGTAACTTTATTTTAGTTTCTAACCGATTAACGCCTTCTAAATTACGTAATTTGTTGTCAAAAATTAACAATTGCGTTAACACATCTTTGGAAATATTCCTTTTGTTGCCAAGAAAAATTACTATAAATTTGCGGTTTGTACAGCTTGAGAATGATATCGCCAGGTAGCGTAGTATCGAGTTCTACTCGGACTGACGGGAATCATTTCAACTCTGAGAACCTCGAGGAACCAGACAGATTCATTAGAAATGAGACTTTCAAATGTAGTTTCATGTTTGATCGAGATTCACCTGTTGCTGAACGTGAGAAACTTTATATATCAGACGTAAAAACTTGGTATTCTTATGTCAACCAAAGTATTAATGAGCCCACACGATGCGTTTTGGACCTTAACTTTCTCAATATAAGCTCAATCTTGAACTGTAGATTTTTGAGAGCATTTTATATTCCGATTCTTTCTGAAAAAACAAAACCTAATGTTGCCCTGCATATACTTGCTCGTTTTGGTAACGGTTTTGTATAACTCATATGTGTTTGACTAGTCCATACTTGCTTTGTAAAATTTTTCTGTGTGTTTATATGTACAAGGAGTTGTACACAAAGTGTTTCTGTTTTGTGGTTTGACTATTTGTCGCATAAATTGGATATCAGCTGAATTCTTATGTGTACTCGTTTTTGTAATTCGTTTGTGTGACTGAAGCTAAAATTAGCTTGCATAAAACTGTAACATGCTACTCAATGCTTGTACTAAAATATCCGAACATACAGTTAATTTAGATTCAGATTTATTGGTTGAGGATAGAAGGCTTGGAGCCTATGTTAATCCTTTTCTAGTAAATTTCTGTGGTTGTCCAAACCCTTCTTGAACGAATCAGTTGAGGCTGCAGACACCACTTCTTCTGGGAGTCGGTTCCAAGAGTTTATGGCTCGATGTGAGAACCAGTACTCAACAGCAATATGATTTCTCCTTGGCTTTCGAACTCTCCTGCTATGTTCTCTAAGGTGTTCCGACAGAGAGGTATTTTGGGCGTATTACTGAAGTGACTCACGTATATTCGCCAACGAGTACTTCGATTCTTCATAATGAACATTAAGTTGACCAAAGAAAGGACGTTAAGAAAACTGGCAAAGAAACTAAAGATTAAATTCGACGGAATATCGTAAGGAATACGAGTTTGAAAGGATATGTAGACCTATACTCATTCAGAACTGGAAAACTCTATTCACACAATGTTTTTAATAAGCTTATAAAGTTGGTGAATTCAGATTACGAGTGAGTTGTTCCTATTAGATGCAAGTTGTAGCTTGATTTGTTTTCACTTATAAATTGTCTGTTGATACGAAGTAGTTCTTCACATTGAGCCCTTCTCATCTGCCCAGTGTGTTAGTGACATGCGGATATAAAAGACTGTTTTAGATTTGCCATCAAACATGTTCCTCGGCTATTGAAGATTGACAACTTGAAAAGGTTTTTTGAAGTTGGATGCTAACGTCTATGAGAAGTTCACTTAGAGAGAAATATTTAGGCCCATATATGTACTTTAACTGGTAAGTACTTTGTCTCACTGCTCCGATTGCACGGTTTGAGGGAAGCACGCGAAAGTGAGTGATATTCGCAGAACCAGTTCTTACAAGTATCCATAAAAGATAAATAACAAATAACCAGTTATCAGCTCCCAGTAACCCAATAGTATTTAGCTATGGCTTACGTACTTTGTTTGTTTTATGCTCTGTCATTCGTACTTAGTAGAATCAATCTGTTATTTATAATTGACCTGCGTATTAGAAAGTGTGAATCTTAGTTCCTAAAACAAAATGAAATATCTCGCAGATAATTAACGCATAGTCGTAGATACTAGAGATGGTCAGTCAGTCACTTTCTTGACATGGTTTTCCCAACAAGTATAAATAATACTAGTAAGAAAAATTTTGAAATTAGCAACAGCTTTTAGGTATACAAAATTTTCCTGTCGGAACTTATTACCTGTATTCATACTTCCTATCTAAAAGGAAAACGTCACCTCAGTAGTTCATCCGACTGCACTTAACGTCAGTGGATTCCAAAAAGGGAAACATTTAAACAATTTCGATCATCCGACTATGTTTAGCTAGCTTCATTGGATTCGTTCACTTCAGATTGCATGCCTTCTGGTTCGCCTTCCTTATCACCGTTGTCGTCCTCATCGTCGCTTGATGTTTGTCGTTCCTCTTCTTCCTCTAGAACCATGTTATCCTGAAATTCAGAAGATAAAATATATTGCTTTTAGATAAGACTCGATAACAGTTGAGTTATGTAGGTATAAACAACCGTAACAGGAACTAAACTCCTGCTTTCCAGCGGTACGTGTTTTATAGGGACACTACTGCTTAATTGTTGAATGGACACTAAGTGGCTTAAATTTATTTCGAATCTGGCTTCGTTTCACAGACTGCTAAACTAGTTATAGTCGAATAAAAGTACTTCTAGGCATTACTGTTTGAAGATTCAAAAGGGTTTTGCTCACAGCCCAACGGTTTCCAGTAAATACACAGGATAAAGTTGTCTATTTACGCAAAGATACTACAAGTCCTAACATTATTGCACGTAGTCTCACTGAATCACCTATTTGTTGATGCATATGGGCTCCTCTTGTAAATTCGAGGATTGATGATGCTTATTGTTTCATCTTGGAAATCCATGGTTTCAGTCTGATGAAGGACTGGGTGTTGTTTATTGAACGGATGGATAACTGCTGCTAGATACTGTAGCTTAGCTTACAATACATATTGTCTTATTTTAAGACACCACCTTTCCTGCTTTTGTTCAATTATGAAATTCTATGCAGCAAATGCGTATACTCATGAACATAAGAGAGAACTGAAACAAGGAGATGCTAATTAAAATTAAAGCCCATAAGAAAAAGAGATAAACGCAGACATATAGCATGCTCATGGACTAACAGTTAGTCGCTTCATGAGTAAATATCCTGTCCTCGTCTAGTCGTCCTGATTTCCTTTTCAACCTCTCCCTTCTTCAGATATTATTATTCTGCACAGAAACAACTGCTTCACTATCCACTCCGTTAGAAGTTAATTTACAACACCAACTAGATTCTCGCAGTACTTTGCATTTAATGACACTGTTAACTGTATATCCACTACGAAGACGCTTAAGGAAGGAAACTTCTGGTGTCTTCATCTTATCTATTTTCGTATTTCAGTGTGAGAAAAATGTAGTCAGCACACTCAGAAGGGACGGAATTTATGAGTAACAATTGTCGATTTTCATTTGCCGTAAATAAATGCCTTGGGGAGTATCTATACTTTGTGATTTCTAAAATGAGATTCTATGTAGTACCTGTTTGTCATCCGGAAAAGAAGTTGAATCTACAGCAGTTCTTTCTTTCAGTTCGCGTTCCTTACGTTTGCGTTCAATCGTTTCAAAGAAGAAGTCTTCTGTAGTCCGGATAAGTCCTTCAGTTTGTTTTGCGTCCAAATCATCTTCGGTATCAACAGCTGCTTCATCCTATGTTCGTAAAGCAATAAATATTATAAAAGCGTTCACTGTAAAAAAAACTGTTAGTTATATAGTAAAAGCACTTCTACCTATACCTTACCGGACCAACAACACATTTTTATGTCAGTAATATGCAGCATAAAAGGAGTTCCACATATTTCCAAATGATAATATACAGTAAACGGTACCGGCTAGTTCCAGTTACTGTTATCATGGATACATATGCTGAAGATAACATGTAATTGCATACATATGGATTAAATCCCATTCCTTTTACATTGTGGAAATGACTTAGTTGTTGTTGTCTCTTAAAATTACTCCTGTCTCAAGGAAAGCATAAATCACCTTACGAAATGTTGCCGTTTATGCATCTCAGGAAATAAAAGTTGCGTTTAGTTGATAAGGATAGTTTCACACAACCTGCACTTATTTTGGCAGTCCAAAAGTGACTGACATTTCATTGTCGTTGAATTGACAGTGTGAAAAGCCAGATTTCATTTGTTGGTTTTATTTACTGAAGTTGTACAAGTTCTGAAGAGTGCAGTGTACCAGATCAGTAACCTAGTCAACTGCGAAGTACCGCCCAATTCTTCGTAAAAATTGGATCATTGGTGGCCACATTATTTGTTATTTGAGGCCGAGAAGAAGAAGAACATGATAAACCGATTCACTCGCCAGTATCTGAGTTTAACTGTTCAATATTATTCGCCTAGTCAGTGTGAGGAGACTAAGAGATTACTAGGTCGAAGTACAGCTACCAAGCAGTAGAATAATCGTGACTGTAGAATGACTAAACCCATAAGAAACGATGACATCTTCAATTTTCCAGATATTCCGAGAAACTCCCTAAATGAGTAGCGAGTCTTCACGGCTCCAATACTTCTATCAATATGGGACTGCTTACAGCATGTATACTATAAAAATACACTTCCAATTGTTTTCCGTGAAACAACGAGATAGTTAATAGTAATCTGGAAACAGTTAACTATACGAGATTTATACGATTGTGTGTTTATTTTCGCACTGAAATACATTTGAGTTTCAGTTGACATTCCGCATTTTGAGACATGGTAGACAGATTTAGATTTAGCCATCTCCACAGGTATACATCAACCACGCTTAGTTTATTGGTTCGCTAGTTTCCTAGCCGGTCCTAAGCCCGGGAACAGAGGGGAGGCAAGTGATCATACCTCGGAAAATTAACCCAATCGCTACAGAAACATCAAAACATAAGAAAAACTTCATCTCAACCTCAAGAACATGGAAACGCAGTCTGCTGGACACGAAGTCGAGAAGGTGAGCAGGTCACAATCCAAGTTCAAAACTCAGAGACTGAAGGACAAAACTACCAAGGACACCTTCACTGCAGCCGTCAGCGCAAAGTCAGACGTTACGTAGCTTCGGTGAGGAAACTTCTGAAGGAGAACACTGGAACTCTCTGAACGTGATGTTCAAGGAAACGTGCACGACCGTTTTGGGAAGGAAGAAGAGGCGAGGCAAGCCAAGGAATGACTCTCTATGGATACCTGGAAGCTAATAGAAAAGGGGAGGATAATGAAACAGAGGGTGAATCGATGCACAGATGGACAACAGAATGGAGGCCGATTTCAGTGTACGTCGAACTGAATAAAGAAGGGGAGAAGAGTGCTGAGAAAGACAAAAGACAATTCTAAGATACACTAGCAGCTGAAGCAGAGCAGACCACAGAAGACATAAGAAAGACCTCGGAACATTATATTAGATAACCAGGACTCTATTTGGGAAGAGATAGAGACAGATGAAACCAATAAATAATGGTCAGGGGAACTTATTTACCATGACTGAGAGACAAAGAAGACTATGGGCTGATCACTTCAAAGGACTCTTGAATCGCCCATCACCTGCGAATCGTCCAGAAATACCAACAATAACCACAGAACTCCCAGTGGATACCAGTCCTCCAACAGAGCAGAAATCTTGAATGCAATCAAGCTAATGAAGGCCGGAAAGGCAGTAGGATCGAACAGACTGATCCAGTGATCACAGCAGGCATCCTCACTTCACTATTGCAAAAGATTTGGAAGGAAGAAAAGGTGCCTATCAATTGGGAGAAAGACTAAGTCGTCAAACTAAGAAGGAAGGTGACTTAAGACCCACTCTGCAAGAACTGGCGCGGAATAATGCTCTTGTCCACGCCAAGTAAAATACTAAGTCGCATCATCTCAGAGAGAATAAAAGATACACTGGATGCACAACTCCGCGCCCCGGAACAAGCTGGATTCAGGAGAGGTATATCATGTGCTGGTCAAATTGCAACTCTACGCATCATCATCGAACAGAGCATAGAATGGCAGCAAAGCCTCTACCTCAACTTCAGCGGCTTCGGAAAGACCCTTGACAGCGTTGACCGAGAAGTAATTTGGAAACTGCTTCAACATTACGGCGTGCAGTGCCCAAGTCTTTATCAACCTCATTCAACAGCTGGCTATATGACGATGCCACGTGTCAAGTGATCCACAACGGAACACTCACCGATGGTACTCCTAATTTTGGAGGACTGGATCATGTGTCAGAATGTGGGGAGCGAGAAGAGGAATACGCTGAACCAATAAGAAGACCGTAGAAGATCTATATTTCGAGGATGACTTATGTCTAGTGTCACACAAACTCGGAGAATTACAGGTGAAACCAGCAAGTTGGCAGAAGAAGCATCATAGACAGACCTTCAAATGAACACAAAGAAGACAGAGGTGATGAAAATAACCAGCTAAAAATAACAAACACTAATCACTATCAACAGAAGGAATTTGAAAGAGGTCACTTTGCTCACTTATCTAGGTAGCATCATTGCATCTACAAGCGAACGAATGGGGATGTGAAAGCCAAAATCTGAAAGGCAAGACATATCTTCGTCAGTCTGACATCAGTTTGGAAATATTCTGCACTCAGCATAAAGAACAAAATTCGGGTTTTCAACACCAGAAGCTGGGTGTGTCATGAAGAGCGTTCCCGACAGGCTGCTGCACACTTTTATCAACAACTGCCTTCGCTTCATACTGAAGATTGGTGGTTAAAAAGAATTAGCAACGTGAAACTGTGGCAACAAACCAACCAAGAACCTATGGCTCAACAAATATGTTGAAGAAATTGGAGACGGAATGGACACACGCTGAGGGGACCGTAGAATGACGTCGTGCGCCAGCCCCCCAGTGGAACCCGAATGGGAAACGAAGAGTTGGGCGTCCGAAAGTGATATAGAGGAGATCGTATGAGGATGACATGAGAGATTATGATTAGTCGTGAGGCTAGCCAAGAAGGACCGCAGGGAATAAGACAAAGTGGAGACCTTATATTCCACTCAGAACTCAAGGGGATAATAATAATATTAATAACACACGTGTACTGTGTTAAATTGAACGATTTTCTGCAAGGAGATGTTCAAGTGACTTAAGCAACTGGCCTCCTATAATGTTGTAAAATAATCTCCCCATACAATCTGATTGATATGCCTATGTACAATAGTACAGAAAGCCACCATCACACGCGGAAATAGAACTACAAAGACTCATTTGATTATCATATAGAGTTTGCATATTGTGTTGTAAATTGGGTAGGAATGAAGACACTATTCACTAACTCTTGTACGCATCATACATCAGCCTAACTCATCATCCTGAAATGATGATACCTGACATGGCTCAGTCCACCATAACAAAATCACTTAGCCTTTAAATTGCATCTTGGTCTGATTGTGGCACTTACTGTGACTAGCTACTTAACCACCTTATTAAATTCAATCTAACACTCTCACTAGCTGTGAAAATGTTGTTATCTGCAAAGACCTACATTGTTTCTACCTGTGATATACTCAGTGAACAAGTCAGAAGTATCAAAGGGGCCAATATACTTTTTTCATTCGGGTACCTCTAGAAGTAGCAACCGTCTGTGATTATTCTTCGATTACACAACCGTGTGTGTTGAATGTCTAAAGATAACTGGCAGGAAGCCCTTGACCTACGTTTTGTGCTTATTGGCAATCATTAGCAATGCGTATCTGCAGTATCTAACGAAACACCATCCCCTTGAAGAGTCAAACCTACATCATCCAGTTCTGCAGTTACAGATGTTACTATTAAGTTGTTCAAGTTGGTAATTTACTTCCCGTAGGGCAGTGATGAGTACATTGATTAGTCACTAGGATGTAAGCAACGTCATATGTCTAATCATTGATCATGTCGACTGCATTCTGTCAGTCAGTGTGCGATGTGTAAGACGATTTCAGACTCCAAAAAAACTTTATATAATAAAATAATTAGTGGATTAAATATAGTAATATTCTCCTTAGTCATCCCAAAGTATGCTTATGATGTGGCACTGATGTCTCGGCGTCTTCTCAACCATTTCAGTGATGATAACAAGTTGAAAAGATTCACTTCTGACATCTGCACATTCAAACTGTCACTTCACAGAAGGCTGACTTCGATTACGCATTAAAATGTCTTGCTTTACAAACATAGGGGACCGCCTCTGTCTTCCTAGTGGACCCAACAAATGATAAATGAGTATATTGAGTAGATCGTACTAATTAGGTAGAGTAATACAACTAATATAGTATTGAATAAATGTCAGTCGAAGTTAACTGGGCATATTTTATAGAAGCAAACTTATTATTTAAACTTACATGTGCTGAGAAATGACACAATCATTCTGACTAAGTTTAATGTTACCAAGGCCACGAAATCCTATGCATATATTAAGTTACTGACTATTGTTTCTTGTTATATCGTCATCTAAATGACGACGTAAATTTCTAATGTTTTATCGCTCATTCGTCGAATGACTTTCTAAAATTGATCCTAAAGTGCCAGTTATATAGGGCACACCGAATTTTCTAACAATCATCTTTGAGCAATTGATGATTACATTATTCAATCTTTGAACATTGGATCAACTCTGATCATATTGGTTTTCTGCGATTTCTGCAGTCAAATCAAACTCCTTCAACGTTGCAGTTACGCTCCCACTAGCCT